CCCGCCCCCCACCATCGCGATCGAAAAATAAAATAAACCGCATGCTGCCTCCACATTCGAAGCATGCGCGGCCAACCCGATGCGCTCCCCCCCACCATCCCTATCAAAAAACAATGCAAAGTACACTTTGGGGCAAAGTCTTGAGTCATGTTCGTGAGCCCCACCAGAACTTTGTATTGTTCTTGACAGGAACGGCGGGGGTGTCAGCATCTTCCCTGCTGTGCGCAGGGCTACCATCCCTAACAAAAAATAATACAACATGCACCTCGCGGCTAAATCTGGATCATGCGCGGCCATCCCGCGATCACTGAAGTGGTTTTTGACAGGGACGATGGGAGTGGTGGCGCGTGGCCTGCTGTGCGAAGGCCCATCAGACACAATGATGGGCATTGATTTTCGACAAGGATAGCGGGGGCCGACATGTTTCCCGATGTGTGCTGTCACGTGCGCAGGCGCACCTGACGCACTCTGCACGTGCCCCGAACGTGGCGCACCAGGCGCGGCTGGAGTGTGCGGCACACCTGGCGCACTCGGAGCACATGGCGCATCTTGCGCACCAGACGTGCCTGGCACGCTTGGGCCCCAGGGGTGCCTGGCGCGCGTGGCGCCCCTGGCACGCGTGGCGCACCTCGTCCAAGCGTCGCGCACCTGGGATCGGCTTTGGTTCCCAGTAACTGTCCATCCAAAGACGACCGCTGAACATGCTCAGGCTTAGGTGTTACTTATGTGTTGGGTGGGCGGGTGGGGGCGAGCTAGACGGCTTGCAGGCGGGTGGGTAGCTTGACCCCATCCCCATACCCTCTCCCCTGAACCTAGACCGGGGGGGCGCGACCGTTAGGCCATCGAAGAAGGCCTCGGCGAGAAGACCGAAATCATTGATTTACTAAGGTTTGGGACCATTTCTGGCCTCCTGGGGAGGAGGCTGATTTGGGACCTCCCCCTTCTTTGATCGAACTTCTCCTAGATGGCCCCAAGATGGCCCCCCAAGGGTGCCCCAAGAGGCCCCCCAAGAGGGCCCAAGAGGCCCCCGTGAGGTCCCCAAGAGGCTCCTAAGAGACCCCCGTGAGGCCACAAGAAGCTCCCCCGAGGCACCCCAGACGCTCCAAGAGGCCCCCGGGACCGCCAAGTGGCCCCCAAGACTCCCGAAGAGAACTCCAGTGAGCTCTCAAGAGATCTCCGAACAGATTCCAAAAAGCATCCAAGAGGCCTCTGCCTTTCTGCCTGCCCTCCTTATGCTCCTCTCCTCCTCCTCCTCCTCCTCCTCCTCCTCCTCTCCTCTCCTCTCCTCCTCCTCCTCCTCCTCCTCCTCCTCCTCTCCTCCTCCTCCTCCTCTCCTCCTCCTACTCCTACTCCTACTCCTATCCCTTATTCCTTATTAGAATATACTCCTACTCCCCCCTCAGGCCGGCATAGCGGGCGCATCCGGGTGGTCCCATCCTAACCTGTAAAAAACAATACAAAATCAACATTTTTCTTATTTTTTCCTCTCGACATGGACGTCCTGTCGTCCACGGCGATAATCCATTGCAAAAAATACCACAAAGAGCACACGCGCGCGTTCATGTCAGAATCCTACCGAACACCGTGTGTTTGCAAGCATTTCAACATAAAAACATCAAAAACCCAATGCTTTTTCACAAAAATTGTACAAATTTCCCGCCCGGGCTCTCTTGCTGAAATCATAGGAAAACCATAGGAATCTTAAGAATTCTGTCAAATCCAGCGATTTCACGTCATCGCGCGGTGCACTCGCGATGCTCTGTCATGCACCCAGGCCGCGAATCCTGTGCAAAAAATACCACAAAGAGCACACTCGCGCGTTCATGTCAGAATCCTACCGAACACCGTGTGTTTGCAAGCATTTCAACATAAAAACATCAAAAACCCAATGCTTTTTCACAAAAATGCTTTGGGGTGTCCTGTCAGACCGTCGGGCTTCCTCCGGCCACCTCTGGCTTCCTGCGGTGTACCGGGCCATTCTCGACTCGTCTGGCAATGCGTGCGCGGCATTCAACACGCGCTCGCCAGTTCCCGTCGGCAACCGCCATCGCGGCCGCATCAGCTGTACCAAACCGGCTGGCCGGTGTGACTTCGGCCCCCAGTTGTGCCAGCTTTGCTTCTTATGTTGTGGGAGGGCGGGTGGGACTGGGCATGCCATGCTTGACTCGCTCGAGCTGGCTAGCTTGACTCCTACCTACTCCTACTCCTCCTCCTCCTCCTCCTCCTCCTCCTCCTCCTCCTCCTCCTCACCCGCTACTCCTCCTCGTCCCTCCTTCATCCTCCCCCCCCCCCTCCCACTCCCCCTCCCCCTTCTCCCCCTCCTCCTCCGATTCCTCCTCCATCCTCCCCCGCTTAGGTTATGACGGCTTCCCCAAATCCTTATTCCACTACATGCTCCTGCACATCCCTGATCAGGGCCATTCGCCTGGACATCGCTTCTGGATAGGATGGTGGGGTTACGCGAAGCGTCTGGAATTGGGTGAGTACCTTTCGCCATAGGGCATTTCTTAACCATACTGCGAGAGGGGCTGCCCACGACGATCATGCCTAAGCAGCCACCCCGCGCGGTCCTTTTCGGAGGAGAGCCACGCCATGGTCTTCGGAACCTCCCGCAGGTCGTAGGCCTGCCGCTGGGTGGCGGCAGGGGGCGATGCTCGGCGCGGGCGACGCTCGCCCGGCAATCAAGGCGGAGAGGCCGTGGGTTGGGGTCCACAGCTAGGAACTTTCGAGGCCGTGAGCATACATCGCAAAGTTTCGGTGGCAACTCATGGGAGCCTCCCATGCCATCTCGCTGGCTCTTGCGAATCGACGCTAACTGACGCTAATCAACACTGAAAATCGCCGCTACTTAACCAGGCTGGAATGGTATGATCTCTGGAAAAAATGCAAAGAGGCAGGACCAGATGTCCGCCGGCCCCCTTGTGGGGCCACCAGGCTGCAGGCCCGTGATTTGCAGTTTCCTGTACCAGTCGTAGGTTGTAGTTTCCAGTGTTACAGTTCTGCTTCTTGCTGGTTACTGTAACTAGTTGACTTATTGCTGGTTACTGTAACTAGTTGATTGACCGCGCGAGGGGGGGAGGCCCAAACCGGCTTTTTAGCACCCCCTGGGCGCGTTGTCTGAATTGCTGGGGGTGCTCATCGATCCGCGGGGTCAGGGTCCAAAAACACAGGGGATTTGCCACATTTCTGAAATTCGGTGCCACCCCTCACGCAGATCCGCGGGGTCAGGGTCCAAAAACACAAGGGATTTGCCACATTTCTGAAATTCGGTGCCACCCCTCACGCAGATCCGCGGGGTCAGGGTCCAAAAACACAGGGGATTTGCCACATTTCTGAAATTCGGTGCCACCCCTCACGCAGATCCGCGGGGTCAGGGTCCAAAAACACAGGGGATTTGCCACATTTCTGAAATTCGGTGCCACCCCTCACGCAGATCCGCGGGGTCAGGGTCCAAAAACACAAGGGATTTGCCACATTTCTGAAATTCGGTGCCACCCCTCACGCAGATCCGCGGGGTCAGGGTCCAAAAACACATGGGATTTGCCACATTTCTGAAATTCGGTGCCACCCCTTACGCAGATCCGCGGGGTCAGGGTCCAAAAACACAGGGGATTTGCCACATTTCTGAAATTCGGTGCCACCCTTCACGCACATCCATCGCAAGGCGTGGTAACCCAAACTGCGAGAACTCCCTCGGCCCTTTAATCGCAAGGTGTGGTAACCAAGCCCGTAAACCATACACGTCTTACCAATCGCCAGGTGTGGTAACCCCTCTTGTGATCAGTTGGTTTTGCTGATTGCGAATCGGCTTCGCATGAAGTTTCGATACTGCTTCACGGCAGCGCCAAGGCCTCATGACTTAGCTCTTCCATGGCCCATTCTCCGAGAGAGGGGGCCGGCGGCAGGGGGCGAAGCCCTTACGGATAAATTGCAATGCGCGAGGCCGGAACGATAAGTCCAGGGTGGTGATGGGGTCTTTATCTCATGTCTTTGACCGGAGAATCCATGCGGCGACGGGGCGGCGACGGCGACCACGGAACCGCCAGCCCGACACCCAGGCCCAGACGACGGGCGGCGACGAGGCGGCGGCGGGGCGGCGACGGCGACCACGGAGCCCCCGGCCCAACACCCAGGCCAAGACGACGGGCGGCGACGAAGCGACGACGGGGCGGCGATACCTGGTCACAGTTCCTCCGCTGATGCTAGCCAGCGTGGACCCCGAAAAGGGATGTTTGTAGCAATCTATGATGTGCCAGATACGTTGTGCAAAATATGTAACCGATCTACGCCGTGCAAACAATGTACTGCAATAAATATATACACATAAAAACACACGTATACACATACATCCATACATACATACATACATATAGACAGACAGACAGACAGACAGACAGACAGACATGCATACATACGTACGTACATACACACATACATACATACATACATACATGCATGCATGCATGCATGCATGCATGCATACATACATACATACATACATACATACATACATACATGCATACGTACATACATACATATATATACATACATGAGTGCGTGCGTGCGTGCGCGCATACGTGCATAGCTACACCCATAACTGCATATACATACATGCATGCATGCATACATGTACACACCCATCCGTGCATACATACATGTTATACATATATGCATGTATACATACATACATACATACATACATACATACATACATACATACATTGCAGATATGATGATCTGGAATCGATGGTGTCTTGAGCCCTTCATGTGGGCCTGTCCTGAATGCCAGGGCCCGTCAAGCCCTGGCTCCACACTGAGGGCCTCGGGAGGGGCCGTGTACTCACGCATATGTGCACGCCTGCATGGCGCCTCGTCCGAGGCGGCGGCCAATTCCTTACCATCGGCCTCAAGCTCGCCCTTGATATGGCCTGCCCCCGTCTGGAGTTCACCCGTGGCTCGCCTCGGGCAACGGGACGAACCTCGGCTGCTGGCGCCTCCACCTGTACGCACACGGAGCCTGGCTCATCTTGTCGAGCATGATCGGATGATTCGCATTATGCACCTTATCTGTTCCTCTCGCGATCGGGCCGCTGCTGCCCTTCTCGCATATTTTCATCGGCTTGTCCGCGTACTTTACCTCGGGTGGTTCCATCAGCTTCCTGCAGCAATATCCACACGCAGTGCCGCCCAGGAACACCACCACCATCATCATCATGAGGATATGCCCCGTGCGCTCGTAGATCATGTCCTAGATCGCCGCTGCCACCAGGTCGGTGGCCATCGGTTTGTAGCTCTCCACTGCGCACGTCGAAGCCGTCGCACTCTCCGCGGCCCCTTGCGCCAGCAAGGTGGCCAACAGGCCTCTCCTCGCCCAGCTCCCGCTCGCCGCCACCGAGCACGCCTCCAGCGCCTTGTGCTTGTCCATTTCGCTGCTATCGACGATGCCCGCCAGTCCTCTCAGGCACTCGAACCGCGCCCCTGCGTGGGCCTTTGTGCCTAGGTCGGCCACATTCTTCTCACTGCTCTCCTTCTTCACGATGAGACCGCGCACCTTCCGCTCTTGCTGGATCCACAGCGCCATGACGTCCAGGTGCTTCACCTTGCCAACGCCTTCTCTGTTGATAATTGCCGTCGCCGCGCTGCTGTCGACCCCTAGCTCCCACGTCACTCTGTAGCCCAGCCATTCCAGCACGTTCTTGGCCAGCTTGCCGCCCATCACCACCGAGGTCGCCCCGTAGAACTCCGCCTCTCCAGACGATGTTGCCCGGGCTCCCTGCCTCCGCGCGAACGCCGCGAAGTGCGCCCCGTCGAGCTTCGTGATGCCGCAGGTCATCGCCCTCCGTGTCTCCATGCATGTTGCGAAGTCGGCGTCCGTGAACATCTGCAAGCTTGCTCGCCGCCGGCCGCCTGAGCAGCGCGCCGTACGTCTTGGCCCCCTTCAGGCACCTCGCGCGCTTCACCAAGCGTTTCCTGTCGAACTCCGTCGGCTTGCTCCTAAAGTTGCGCGCCAGCAACTGCACGCCCCTTCTGGATGTCCGCCCTGTCGGGGAAAATGTAGAGAGGGATCCCAACACCCGTGCGGAACTTCGCCTTCTCCGCGTCATCCAAGTCGGGGCTCCAGGTCGGGCCCTTTTCCGTCAAGCTTGGCACCGTCGCGGGCTTCGCCTTCTCCATGCCCATCACGAAGATCAGGTCCTCGATGTGCTTGACGTTCTGCCTGAGCATCACGCCGCCGCTCATGAGCCTCAACTTGTCTCGCTTCAGGTGAGAGTGGCGCCCCTGCCTGATGACGTCCGTCGCCTTCAGGTCGAACACATCCCTCAGCTTCTTGATGACCCCACCCAGGTTCCCCATCGGCCCTTCGCCATGGAAATTCCCCCACGTGCACCTCGATCAGGACCTCCTTCTCCTTATGATGGTAGAACTGCGGCTGGCACTCGCACCTCTCGAAGCCTTCGCCCTCGAGTGTCTTCGCAGCCTTGTCTACCCACCCAGCGCCTGCAACACGCAGTCCAGGCAACATCTTGTCCAAAGCCCAGACGATGTCGGTCGATCTGCCCATCTCAGCCAGGAGCGCCATGCACTCTGGCGGTGGCTCTACGCAAACCTTCTCCGCCTGGTCAGCCTGGCAATAGGCCTTCGCGCAGTCGGCGATGAAGGTCCCGTGGGTCTCTTCCTTGATGCTGACGAAGTCCATCAGCCTGCTTGTCTGCGCTGATGAGCTCGCCCCGAACGTCGCCCCGCTGCTCCATCAATTTGAACTCCTGGGCTACGTACCTCCACTTGCAGACGCCTCCGCGCATCTGCGGCTCCCAGCGCGCCTCGATCATCTTGAACTCCCCGCCCTCGCTCCTCGGGATGGACCCGTGGACGCCGTAGTGCGCCAGCACCTCCAGCGCGTCGCGCTTCCCTTTGAGCTCCACCGCGGGCTCCAGGCCGCTGGTCGCCACGCAGGACGCCGTGCCCATGCTGTCCAGGACGCTGTAGTCGATGGGGTCGCCCAGCCAGATCGCGTCAACATGCCTCGCTCGCTTCTCAGGTGAGACGAATTCCTCACCGTCCGCGGGTCTAATCTGGCCCCTCGGGGTCATCGGTGCGTCCTCTTCCATCGCGCTGTCCTCCCGAGGTCTGGCAGCCGCCGCTGCGCCCCCCAGGTCCGGCTGGCGCCCCCGGTGGTGCTGCCGCTTGCGCCCCCTAGTCGGGCGCCCCGTTGCGGCGCCGCCGGCGCTGCTGCCGCCTCTGCCTCTGTCTTCGCCTTCTGCGCCGCTGCCGTCGGGCCGATCGTAGGTAGAGGTCGCTGAATCTTGGGTAGCAGCTCGCGCGGATTGGCGCTCCGTGCCCCCCAGGGCAGCGCCTTCGCCGCCTTCATCAGCTTCGCGTCAGCCCGCGGCGCTGGCCTCGGCCACCCGCAGGTCCTCGCGCGATGCAACCCCGCAAGCGTCGGGAACAAGTGATCGTCGCGCCCCATGTGCTTCCCGATCCAGATGCCCTCCACGAAGCTCGACTCGCCGTTGTGCTTGAACGATGTCGCTGTGATCTGCCTGCACGGGAGGTCGGCACCTTGAAGAGCGCCGTCTCCGCGAAGGGGAGAATCTCGCCGTTGTAGGTCACTCCGAATTCAGCCTGATGAGATGTCCTCCCATCGGCTCGTGGTCTGTACGTAGAGGCTGCCCAGCTAACGTATCTCGTCAGCCAGCACCCGATCGGCGCGTCGCTGTGATCTTCATGCCGTAGCGCTTCCCCAAGTCGAACTTGCACGTCCTCACCTTCGCCTGAAAAAATGTGATCGGCGCCTCGATCGCGCCCGTGCTCTGACTATCCTTCAGGCCCCCACGCTTCTCCTCCAACTTGATGCTCTTGCTCAGCTTCTTGCGAACCTCCTCCACCAAGTTAGGGATCGTCGGCTCCCCGTTCGTCTTGATGTCCGCCGCGGCGAGATGCATTCTTTCGATGAAGCTGCTCACGCTGGCCACCGCGTAGTCAGTGACCGCCTTGGTCGGCATCGAAACCGCGTTGAACATCAGCGTGTCCCTGTCAGCCATCACGAGCGTCGTCGCGGAGATGTCCGCCGCTGGCGGCTCTTCGCCCCCGATATCCGCCCAGTCGCCGTTGGTCTTCAGATAGCAGAAGTCCAGGGTGATCTGCGCCCTGCCCGTGTCCTTCTGGTCAAAGGTGAGCGTCTTGCGCGGCCTGGTCGTCTCATCTCCTCTCACGCAGGCCTCACGCCATGGAATCCTCGTGAGATGTAGAAGTTCGTGCGCTGCTCGCTCCGCCTCCGTCGGCGCAGCTGGCCCAGCGACTTCGCGCGGTGCGATCGAGAGCCCTCCCTGCACAAATTCCTCGCGCCTGCGCTCCAGCCCTTTCATCCTCGCGCGGTGCACCGCGAGCCTCCGCTCAGCGTCGCTAAGCCTCGTCCACGACTAGTCCTTCCTGCCGCAGATCGGCTGCCCCAGCTCCTTGAGCCTAGTCCGCAGGTCCTCCACGCGGCTGTCTGGGTGCAGGACGATCTCCTGCCCCTCGCGCAGCACTACGGGTTGCCGAGCTAGACGCCCCCGTCCGTCTCCTGCCTGCATGCTCAGGTCCGACCCGTGCCGCCGCGCCTCCGCTGCCAGAGGCCCCAGGTGACTGCGCGAAACCCCCCGCTGCTCGTTCGCGCTCGCGCTGGCTGCGAACTCCACCGCCTCCATCGGCATTGAAGGTCTTCGCGTTGAAGCCCAGGGCGTTGTTCTGCCTGCTGAGCGGGACGCCCTTGGCGAGGTCACCTCCTGGGCCCACGCACATGCCACTCATCGCGCCGAGCCAGAACTCCGCACCCTTGTCCATTACCTCGAGCAGTGGGAAGATCGGCTTTGACACCGCGTCGCCCAGCCTGAAGTCGGCCTTCAGCAACTTCGTCTGATCGCTGTCGTCGTCGACGGCCATCGGCAACGACGCGATGGTGTCCATCTTGACATCCTGCCTCTGCGCGCCCAGCAGTCTCGGCCCAGAATCTGCCCCCTGCTTGCATCCATCGCCGAACGCGGTCGGGCCGACGTGGCAGACGCTCGCCGTGTCCAGCGCGATGAAGGTGGCCCCGTCCAGGTCCACGCCGCAGCACTTGGCGTCACCGTCCTCGGCCTTCATCGTCACGCAGTCGAGCTGGTCGTCGTCGCAGACCTCGTACTCGAAATCTGCGTGCTCAATATGGGCTACCGTCTTCGGATCTGCTTCCTCCTGCTCGATCGCTGCGTTCCCTTTGGCCTTCTCGTCGGCTAGAAACCTCCTGCAATATGCCTTCCTGTGGCCCGCCTTGCGGCAGTAGTCGCACTTCCCTGTGAACGCGGCACTAACCTTGTCCTTGCCTTTGCCGTCTTTGCCGAAGCCCTTGCCTCCCCCTTTGCCGCCACTCTTCTGCTTTCGTCTGTCTCGCCAGTAGCAGTCTCGAGCCGCGTGGTTCGCCTCGTTGCAAAGCTGGCACTTGTCCGTGCTGCCCTGTTTGCTTTTTCCCTTGGAGATCGCGTCGACGCCCGTGCCGCTGCTGCTTCGCCCGGCAGCCAGTGGCTTCGCAATCACTCCGCTCTGACCGATCGCTGCCTCGAAGATACAGGTCCTTATCTGCGCGATGTCGATTCGCGCGTCTCGCTGCGCCGACCGCGGCATGGTCACGTCATCAGGCGCGCGCGCCATGATCGCGCCCGTCTCCATGTTCTGCGTGACCTCTTCGCCCGTCGCCCGCTCATAGAGGGAGATCAGCTCGCCCCAGGCTCCAGGCACTTCTGTGAAGCGCTCCTTGCCCTGGCGATCCTGCTACCAGAGTGGCGACAAGATCTGCTGCAGCATGTGACCGTGCTCCTCGTTCAACCTCGGACGATGCTCTCGGCGCAGCCTCCTCGTCGCTTCGAAGCCGTCTCCTCTCTGGCACAACTTCACGATGCTCTGAGCCGCCACTTCTGTCGTACTCGCCAAGAGATGGTACAGGCCCCATCCGACCTGCACCCCTTGCTCGCCGATATGCTCAACAGAGAACGGCTTCTCTGCATCTCTGGCCAGTTCCAGCCTCGCTGTCCAGCCCAGCAGTCCACAATAACTCCAGAACGGGAAGATCCAATATTCGAAGTCCCCCCTCTTACCTGTGAACGCCGGTACTTTCCCGACGCCTCTCGAATCTGGCAGCTGCACCCCCGCCGCCGCTGCGTCGGCCGCCATGGCGCGCTGGCGCCACTCACCTACCTGCAGGGAAGGCTCGTTATCACACCTGTCACTATGCAAATATGATGATCTGGACTCGATGATGTCTTGAGCCCCTCATGAGCTATCGCGGGAACCACGCTCCAAGCAGTCCAAGCCTCTCTTGGGCCGCACGCAAAGGGCCACTTTGGGCCTGTCGAGAATTCCAGGGCCCGTCTGGCCCTGGCTTGACACTGAGAGCCTCGCGAGGGGCCGTACACTCACTCACATGTGCATACATGCATACATACACTTGTACATACATACAGGCCTGCTTAGTTACTTACATACACACACGCATACATGCATGCATGCGCGCATGAATACATACGCACATGCATACATACACATACATGCCCATATAGACATTCATGAGGGATTGCATGCATACACGCATACACACATCCATACATACATACACACATGCACACATGTACATGCACGCAAAAATACATACACACGCATACATACATGCATGCACACATATGGACAGACTGACAAACATATACACGCACGCGCATATTTTGTGCGCCGGCGGCTGAGCAGAGGGCGACTGCCCCGGCGGATTGGCAACAGGGGGCGCTCCGCATGCAAATTGACACCGCAATGCACGAGGAAGGAGGCGGAGGCCTCGGCGCGGCGGGGGGAGAGTCAAGCTGGGCCCGCTCAGGCAAGTCACGGGCTGCGGCGGGGGAGGGCGTCGCGCGGGGGGGGCAGCGGCAGCAGCGAGCAGCTGCTGGGGGGGGGGGGGCGGCCCGGCAGACCAAGCGGCCGAACGGGGGGGGCAACGCATGCGACAAGCGGAAACCACCCACACAGACACACACACACACACACACACACACCACCGAGGACCGGAATTGCAGACGGCCCCAGAGATGAGCAAAGGCGCTGAGACCAGAGGGCCCACGAGGCGCGGCGGGAGGCGGAAGCAGGACGCAGGCGGCCACGATAGCGCCGCGGAGGACGAAACCGCAGCACAGCGCGAGGGCCGCGGAGCGGGCCAAGAGGCGGAGCCACGCCAAAAGGGGGGGCGGCGCGGAGTGGGGCGTCAGCAGGTAGCGAACACGCGGCCCCACGGCCGGGCAGGAGCGCCGAGACCAGGGGGGGGCCTACGAGGCGCAGCGGGAGGCGAGAGAGCGAAGCATCGGAAGGCACGGCGACGCGCGATAGCGCGTCGCGAGGTGGCCAGGGGCGGGAAGCGGAAATAAAGGACCAAGCCAATAAGAGGGGCGGCGTGGGCCGGGGAGGCCCGCGGGGCGGGGCGCGCGCCGACGCTGGAGGGCCTACGAGGCGCAAGCCACGATGGCGGCGCAAGGCGCCGCGGGAGAGCGGAGCGCCCAACGCGCCACGAGCCGGCGAATGGATGCGAGGCCTGAAAGCCGGGCGGTGGGCGAGGACCCCGGCGGGGACACCTAGGCCGCCCGGCCGGCGAGGGGCCAGGTAAGGAACAGGAGGGTGCCACGGGCGGGGCCTGGACAGAACCTGCAGAAGGCCGGCGAACCCCGGCCGCGGCGGGGGGAAGCAGCGGCGGGGCAGAGCACCCTCGGGGCCGGAGCGGGGGGGGGGGGCCAGGAGCCAAGGGCGGGCGGGCAGCCGCCCCCCGGCAAAGGCGGCGCTCGGGCGGAGGGAAGGAGGCCGCAGAGGAGCCACCCCGCGCGGCAGCACGGGGCCCCCGAAGAGAAGCACGACGGCCGGCGGACTGGCGCAGCGCACGGGGGAGCACTGCGGAGCAGGCGGCCGCAGGGCCAGGAGTGCACGCGGGAAGAAGCAGGCCCCGAGCGGAAGCTGGAGGTCCGCGGGGGGGCATCGAAAAGGCGCAGGGTGGCGAAGGAGAGCCGAGGCAGACCCCGGGCGGGAGCTGGAGGTCTGCGGAGGGGGAGGGGCGTCGAATAAGTACAGGGCGGCGAAAAGAGAGCCGCGAAGGCGACGGTGGGGGAGGGCAGTAGGCCAAGTGGGCCACCACCCAAATCCCGCAGATGACTCCGAACAGGCCCTAATTGCGCGGCAGCTGCAGAGGGCTACCAGCGGTGGCTGCTCGAGGCTGACCAGCGCTCACGAGTGGGATCGGTGCTGGGCCAGGAGGAGTCGGCAGGGCACTTGCCTTTTCCCTGCGGCGGGGGCCCCTTCCCCTTGCATTTGGCAAGCTCTGTACTCTGTCTCCTCGCGTCAAAATCTCGATGCAACTCAGCGCCCCAATCGACCCGGACGCCTTTGTACCTGCAGAGGCCGCGGAAATCGTAGTTGGACTGGCTGAGCCCACGTACGGGGCTCTGACAAATTTCCGCAAGGTGCCGCTTGGGGTCCTTGGTGGAGCGCGGCCCCACTCATGGTCACAGACGGCATTCCAGCCGATCGCCAGCATGGGGCCGCATTCCTTGTTGAGGCGGTTGACCACCTCCTGCCCGTCCTCCCTCGAGTTGGTGTTATAGTTCCAAGTGGAATGCCACGCCACCTCATGCCGCGGCCTGAAATACAGCTGACCCGTGGCATCGTACTGGGTCGGAGGCATTGCGTCGGGGGGCGGTTGCCGAGGCGTTGGCTCCTGCCGCCAAGGCGGAGTTCGTTGCGCTGTGCCCCATCTGCGCCACCTTTGGGAAGAGCCCGGGCTGCGTTGCTCATCAGTCCTGGGGGCCTTGCGCATCGGCTCCTCCGCGGCAGCCTGCAGGGCGCCGGCGCCAGACTGCTCCGCCGTCGGCGCCTGGGCGCGGTTGGGGCTGGGAGAGGGGGCCACGCGAGCAGACGGCTGAGAGGAGCTACGGGGGCTACGTCGCCACTCGGAAGGGCTGCTTGCTGGGCTGCCAATGGGAGGTCCCTCCTGGGGGCTCCAGTCGCAGGCCGACGCAGTGGCGCTCGCGAAGCGCTGAGAGGGGGGCCGGAGCTGCCATCGGATGCTATCGCCGCGGTCACGCCCCGCATCCGGGGAGTCTGCCGGCGGCCCAGCCGGACGCGCGCCCCCCTCGTCAGCGACGGTAGCCGCCAATCTGTGCCTCGCCAGAGAGGGGGGGCAGGCTGCCGCAAAGCCGGTCGGGGCTCGGCCGAGGCGGTGCCGGGGGGGCAGCAAACCGAGCTGCTCGGGGCGCAGGACAAATGCTGCTGGGCTGGCTGGGCCCAAGCTCTTCTTTGGACTCTGAGTCCTGGGGGCAGCCGGCTGCCGTCTGCGGGGGGGCGTCGTGGACAGCGCCAGTGAGGGCCAGCTTCCTCCATGTCGCTATCTGTCGGCACCCGCGCACCAGCGGGCGCTGAATCGACGCGTTACCCCGATAGCTCAGGTAGCCGAACAAGATGTCCTGGCTGTACCAAGCAATGTCGCGTCCCTTCACGGACGCTCGGGAGTCGTGTTTGCTGCGGTATATAGCCCATTCGTCAGGTCCCTTCTGGGGACTGGGGGGGGCTCGGCCGCCCTGGCCGTGAAGGTGGCTGACCAGCAGGGCCACGGCGGCACGCTCACCGCCACGCTGGGCCCCTGGGGGTAGCCCAGAGGGCGCGATGGAATCGCCGTAGACGGAGGTGAGGAATTCCTGACAGCTCGCGGAGGGCCATGCCCTGGAGTCAGAAGGCGCACTCATGCCTTTCCCAGGCTTGAGAAGCGAGGAGGACATGTTCCCCGCCGTCCACGCCCTCCAGCGCTCGTCTGCCGCCGGAGAGACTGAGCGGGCAGAAATCACTGCATGATGCGCACGATCGCACTAACCGCACTTCCGAGCACGGAGTTCAGATGGATGCGCCGGGCTGTCTCTAGGGCCGCAGTGCCCTACCCTTAGGTTGTGGCAGATCGGTGGGTCAACGCTGGGAAATCCATCCAGGAGGCTGGCGGGGGGCCGCGCCGGCGGGGTTGACTGTCTCGCCAGGGCGTCTCCGTCTGTCCTCCGCGCTGGGGGTCGCGCGCGGGCGCGGGGGCCGCGGGAGTCGGCGCGGCGGCCCTCTGGCGTTACCCTGCCGCGACGGGTGGAGGATAGCTGCGGGCCCCCGTGGCCGCGGCCGGTCTGGCGCGGGCGCGAGGACGCGGGCTGCTGTCAGGGGAATGGCTGGTGAGCGCGAAGGTCGACCTGCTCCTCGGTGGCCAGCCAGCGCCGCCCTGCCTGTCGGCGCCAAAGCTGCGAGATCATCGGCGGGTTGGACTGCGATTTTGGGGGGGCTGCCGCTGCGGGGCGGGCGAGGCAGAAGCGCCCGTGGACCTTGCGCCCTGCTGGGGGGCGCCCGCCATCGCAAACTCGGGGGCCCAGACGCCTAGCGGGCCCGGTAGCTGATCGTCGTCGGGGAGCGGGGGCCGGCTGCCCTGCGAGCGCGACTGCGGAGGGTCAAACGGCGCAGGGAGAGGCGATGTCGCGTCCTTCTTGGGCACGTCCTTGTTATAAGAGCGCGCCCATCCTTCTCGAGGGCCGCCTTGACATGGCTTGGGCGGGCGCCCCACAAGTGCGCGAGACAATATCATCGCATAACCGCGTAGCGCACCGCTGCATAATGGCGAACGCCTGCGCGCTTGGCGGAAGATGAACATGCCCAACGGGGCGTCTCCGCAAGGCCATCGCTTCATGGGGACGTCGCCGGGGCCGCGATCGCGTTGACGCTTCCACAGGCCACGGCCGAAGTCCTCGCCAAACCTGTCGTCGATGCCGCGAAAGACAAGGATGGCGGCGCGAGCGCGGGCGGGGTCGCGGGGGCCCTCCGGGGTGAGCAGAATGTCCGCCAGCGGGGCATCGTCCTGGGCGGGGACAGCGGGGGGGCCCCAGACTGGGGGCCGGGGGGGCAACGCAGGCCTGAGGGTTCGGGGCCAAGGTCGCCCAGGTGAGCTGTCCTCATGTCATCGGTCGGCGCCGGAAGCCCCTTGGCTGACAGGTTGGCGCGCCGGCACCTGCAGCAGCGCCGCCGGCAGTCCACCCCCAGGCGGTAGAATTGAAGGCGACTTGCGGCAACCATCTTCCTGACTGCGGAATCCACCCAGGCACCTCTGGTCTCCCTTTGGGGGTTGAAGGGGC